GCCACCAGAAAAGGCAATTACTAACACGGTACTTCAATAGTTTTACTCTTTGCACCTTTTGCACTACGGCGCATTTCTTTTCTAACAATCACACCTTGATAATTTGAAGACAACTTGTACAGTAAACACTACAAAGTTTGGTTGAGAATCAGGGCAAAATGGAGCACGATGCAGGGAAGAGACAACGTGGGAATAGCATCACCACTACCCCCGAGAGACCTGCGAATAATGATGGAAGAGCGGTACCCGAGCCTCAGGTAACAGAGAGACCGCAAGAGTCCAGGGAGATTAACAGCCACAACCCTCAGGGATATGGTTTACAATCGACCAATACATTCACAGCTAGCAGTAGCTCACCACCCACAAATCCGGCCCCCAGATATCCCTTTGAACGATCTACAACCTCATCTAGCCAAGAAGGTTCCAATGCGTTAAGGAAAAGTACACAGACCGTCGTCAAGCCAGCATTAGAACCCCCCGTCACCAAATCAACATTAAGTGAACTCGATGTGAATAAGATAGTACACAATCCCAAACTCCGACACGACATTAACTTCGATCCCGATTTACACTTTAGGCCGAATCTCGATGGAGAAAAGGGACGCAAGAAGAGCCAGAAGGCCAACGATTTCTGGGAGACGATGCGATCGCAACTTGAAGGCTTTTTGATGAGTAAAGATCGTGAGCAATTTGAGAAAGATTTAGGAGATGCGGAGTGGTGCTTGCCGGCCACGCTGAAAGCCATCAAAGGCATTCTAGAAACATTAGTTCCACAGCGGGACCGATCATCGGTTGAGGAGACCTTTAATGTCGATTTGTTAATGCAGCAATTTCGAAAAGGCGTTGCTGATTTGAATAAACTTGCGTTATGGCTATCACAACTTTTGAAGTGCCATTGTGCACCAATGAGAGACAGTTGGGTTGATGAGATGGTCGTTCACTTGAGTGAGGGTAACCAAAACGGAGATGTGGCAATGTTAGTCTCCGGAATGCGAAATCTGCTGGGTGTCTTGGAAGCCATGAAGCTCGTAAGTTCTACGTGATATGTCCCTGGTAGACGTTTACTGATGTTTGATTTAGGATGTTGCAAATCATCAGATCAGGTGTTTGCGCCCGCTGCTCATCGAAGACACTGTCCAATTTGAGCAAAAGTTCTTTGTAAGAAAGATCGCCATGGGAAGAGTAGATATCGCTTCAGCACATGATTGGTTCAGAAGGGCATCAAACTTGCCAGATAGTCTTCCCTCGGATGCATCAACACGATCACAGGGAAACACGTGGGACTTCATGAAAGCACTTGTAAATTTAACCCTACCATCGAAAGCCTTAGAACCTGTCCCTCATACTTTCCTGTTCGATGAGGAGCGCCTTGTTAAACTTCGTGCGGATATGCTGGATCTAATTAACCTCGAAATTTGTATGTTCCTCTATCACAAACTTGATGCGGCATCCAAATCGAACGAGGCTCGATCTGTTCCGCAGGACGATACACCTGCTGCTTCGTCTTATATCTCTTCTCCTGCAGATGAAGGTGTACTCTCGGCGCCGACTGTACCCTCAGAGAATGACTTTACAGCTAAACGCAAGTATAATCACATGGCACAGGAAAGAGGTCATTTCTCAAGAGAACTTTCAGGTCGACAAGTATGGGTACCAACTCTAGAAGACGAAGCTATGGACTCCCTATCGTCTAGCCCAAGATCATCCCCATCAACGACTGCATCTACCCCCGAGACATATCCTGTAACACCACTTTACCTGTCTATTCAGAACTCTGACTCTACGTCACAAGTGCGCACCTCTCTACAAGCTCTCTTGGCCTCTTCTTCGTCACAAGATAGGTGGGCCGTATTATCCTCAAATATTGCTTTACAAATTCTTCGCTCAACACCAACACCTATGGCACGCCTTCCAGTATTCGAATCACATCTTCAATTTCATCTCTCAAATTCGCAATCTAGGATCTATCAGGAAGCCGAAACGTACATAATCTCGAAACTTTTCCCCGAATTACAAAAGCTTGTCGAGTCGTATACTCCTTTGACGAGTCTCCAGATATTTGATGCTGCAACGTCGCCAAAACCTACGAACGGACTCATAAACCTCAATACCCAAGCAACTGGACAGAAAGAGGAAATTTCAGATATCGCAACCAGAATTGCCCATATCGGTATTCTACACTGGCGCGTTTGGGCACCATTAGCATATCTTGTTAATCCTGATGCTGAGGATGAAGTCGACGTCAACATGATCCAAGATACCGATCTGCCGGTTCACGAGTCTTGAATGATTGTTAACTGCATATCTACAAACACCAATCTTTCGAGGGTGCATTTTAACAGCTGAGCCGAGCCTTAAGAGCAGCCTTTCAAAAGGTCAACTCACCCGGAGTCATATTCAAGCCAAACTCCGGATACGTTATTGCGGCAAACATTATATGAATATGAAAGAAACAATATCTCCAAGAACAGCTGGAGACGAACTACTCCTATTACATTTATTAAAAAGTTTGAAAATCGCCTCGTAACCTTTTTTTAACTTTACTTACCACATCTATTATAAATTCGCATTGTTCTTGGAGTCATTTGGGGTTGGGCAAGTCGGTTCGGATTCTGGTCTTGCATACCTGCATTTTTCTTCAATTTTTTGAAATTCTGATACCCAACGTCTGTCGTTTCCTTCGCATCAATCGACTACAAATATCTGTACAATAGTTGTCGAACCATGATTCATGGTTGGTGTGTTTATTATCTGGGAAGCAACTAAAATCCACGCATCACTTAAGGGGGTTCGGTTGGGGCCAAACCTTGTTTTCGGAATCATTTCAAATGATTTATTTATCTATTAGAAACACGTTTGGAGTTTGCGTATGTGCGTCTTTTTCTGCTTTATTTTGCAACTATCCAATTTGGCAAGGTGCATGTTAGTACGTTTGGGTATGCGAAGTTTGGGATTTCAACTGGTGTTTTTTTTTGTTTTTTGGGATATGCCGGAATGGGATGGGATCGGTTGGGATGACAGGTGCATAATGTTAGATCTTGTCTAGACTTTCAGTGGGGGAAACAAAGGTTAAGGGATGAATTTGATTGCGATGAGAGGAAATGCCTGTTTGAATGTGAGGATTGGATTGGATGTTTTGGATTGCGTGGTTGGTTGTATATTTTGGTAACTTGACAGTTGTGTGCGAGTAAATGAATAAATGGAAAATATTAAAAATTCAACATTTTGATTTGCACTGAATGATGTTGTGAACTTTTGAAGTGTTAAAGATTTTGTTTCATGGTGGCAAGTGCCTGGTTTCATATCCATTGATAGATTGGATTGGAAGCCGATGCACACCTTCTTGATGAAGTCAGTCACTGACGGTGATGTTTCATAGAACATATTAAAGTAATCATGGAGTGGTATAGAATGATTGCAGAAGGAGAGTTTTCATGCAACGTTCCTTGTATATTGTCATTTACTCTATGACATGTGAATGGCAAATTATGTATACATGTATCTATATTAGATAGAGACGAGAAATGATATCTAAATTCATGAGCATTTAGATGGGAATGAGGAACCAATTGATGTCTTGAGGAATAGAAGATCATGAGGATCTTGCGGGTCAATAGGAAAGCCACCCGCAAGAAATAGGAAAGTACTAATTGGTGATTTAGCTGAGAAGACAGGTCGATTGTGTTGGTTCATGATGGGGATTGAGAGTGCAAGTTCAGATGTAGGTGTATGTCTGTAGTAGATTTATTAGGTGTCAATGAGTTGGACAGAGATAGGTTCGTGGATATGATAGAATAGATAAAGAATGTAATTGGAGAGGAGAGATTGGGTGAGAGACTTATTGGAAATTGGGTATTGGATGTTTGATATTGGATATGGGATATTGATATCTTCACAATATCTAGTAGAATAGAGTGAGAGGAGGTGGTTTCAAGTCAAATATACCTACCTGGTAGTCATTATGTTGGACTCACAATCGATCTCTACAGACAAGAGATCTGAGATGGGTATCTTTCTAATTGTCTCCCTGTTTGTTATTTAATCCCATCTACTTGTTTTCTTATTTTCTCGGTATCTAACTTTCATCTTCTCTCTCGAATTCACTATTTTCGAATCCATTCATCTTGTTAATATCATCTCATTCACTACTATCAATAATAATTTTCTTTAGATATCTTTACTCTTCCATTTACATGACTAGTCTAGGTACATTAAATTTGCTTTCGAATTTTCACGCACACTGTCTCTGTCTCTGTCTAAATTTCCAAAATTGCTTTTGTCTTTCGCTTGGACCTTGATGGCTATAAATTGTCTCTCCCTGTTTTAGTTTCTTTATTTAGGGTATAGGTATCTAGTATCTATGTATGTCGCCTTTCGACACGTCGCGTAGAATTTGACTTAATTTGATTGTGTGTGGATAATTGATACTTGATAGTTAGCTCCGAGCAACAACAATGACACAACTAGATTTTCATTCACTCACTTACTGTCCTGTCCGACTCTCACTTTTGATACTTCTTGGTCTCAATCTTGCTTTGTAAAAAAGAATTAGAAACCTGTCAACTTTTTAATTGATAAAGAGAAGAGGTGCACAGGAACAATTCTAACTAGCTGATAATTGCTAGAGAGTGAGTGGGCTTTGGATAACATAAAGGTATGTGTGTATGTTGATTTTTGTGAAGAGAGAGAGAGATTCACTGATTGATTGAGTGGGAAGATTCAACTTCTTGAGCTTTTTTCAGTTTTCGAATTGGGAGATTATAGTTTAGTTTAGTTTAGTTATAGGTTGAAGTTGATTCGAGAAGTATCTAGGAGAAAGATTGGACTTTTACTTTTACTTTTACTTTTACTTTCAAAGAAAAAACTGTTCCAGAAAATATCACAACAACAACAACTATCCTATCCGACCCATCTTCGACTATCCTCGAACTCAAAACACAAAATTCAACCAAGAACGAATGCTTCCGCGAGGAGTACCTCCCTATCCGGGCCCCTTATCAATGACGCCCGAACAACATTATGAGTTGGTGGAGGCGCAAGCGTTGATTACGGCAGAGGGCGATCGCATCCTGTTCGAAGAGGATATTACGCTGAATGTGGATTTTGGGACGGGCGTGGAGGAGAGACATGTGGAGGGGTGTGTGTGTGGGGTTTGTGGGGAGGTGGAGAGGGGGATGGGGAGGAGGACGGTTATTACTGGAGGGGAGAGGGTGGGTGAGGGTAAGGAGGGTGACAAGAAGGGTGAAGAGAGTGGAAAACACGATTGTGCTGATGAGAAGAGAGATGATGATCATGATGACAATGGTCATGATGGACAATCTTTATTTGTTGGCACGGGAAAGATGTCACAAGTAAAGATCTCCAAGCCTCTAAGTCCAGAATTACACAGATTGAGAAGAAGAAAGCAAGCCGGCTCTAGCACAGCGAGCATCTCGACCGTCTCAAGCATGTCAACCGTTCATGCGGATGAGTTGAAAAAGCGCAATGCATCACTTGGACATGATGAAGAGTACCAAGTCAGCGAAATGGATAGTTCTGAAGAAAACGAACATAATTCTTCTGGGGTTACAATTGCTTACTCGCATGCGCCTGCAACATCATCTGGGGCTGGAGAAAAGCTTCGGCATGAAAGAGGAAGGAGTGTGAGTCAAGATTTGCACGCGACTTGTGATTTGCAGGTCGAGAATAAGGAGTGCTGGTCTGATACGGCTAGAGATGGACTAGCAAGAAGTCTTTCCCAGAGAAGTCTATCAATCGGTAGAAGCAGAGACGAAGGAAGAGGAAGGGACGGCAGTGTAGGTTTCAGATCAGGAAAGGTATGGAACTTTGCTCGGAGTCTCAGCAGACGGAGTAACAACTCAGGTCATTCGTCGCAGACAATCCGCCCTGCAAAAGATGACCACGCCATGCTTGGAGCGCAAATGGATGGGAGTGGATTCTCAGACCAGCATCCTTCTTTCGAGGAAGGAGAAAGTCTCAACATGAGTTTCCAAGGCGATGAGGATATCATGGAACCTAGAGATGGCGCAAGACCATTTATTGGCCCGCGTCGCAATCCCGAGATCCATGATTTCCCCACATTCGATCCTGAACAATTTACGCCGAGTAAGAATGCGCATGCGCCTGCAGATAAATCAAATGCAAGGAGAAGGTCAGGCTCAGAATCCGACGTTGCGACAGTGGGAGCGCAGGAAGCGCGCTCACGATCTCCTTCTTTACGATCTCGACACTATAGTTCCCGCGGCTCCTTCTCGCTCAATTGGGATAATATTTCTTCGGATACCGTGTATCACAAGCATGCGCGACGCTTTTATCAGAATCCTGCAGCGTATGGCGCGGAAATCCCGGGGTATAATCCGGAAACGGATAATCCGTATTTGGCTTATGATCGGTATCAGGAGGTGAGTGAGTGGGCGGATAGCACCGAGGAAGCGGATCCCGATCATGTTGTTGCGTTGACGACGAGGGAGTTGAAGAGATTGTGTGGGGCGGAGATTCCGGTGCCTTTTGATTTTATTCCAGAGGGGTATGTGAATCCTCCTAATTCGAGAGCGGGAAGTGTGGTGGGTGATGATGAGAGTGTTATTTCGATCAGGGAGATGGATGAGGATGAAGATGAGAAGCAGGGACCGGAACCGGAACCGAGACATAAAAATTTGGTTGATCTTCTGGGCATGCCGGGTTGGGCTCACGATTGGGAAGATATGACGAGGATGCAGAGACATTTTCATATTGTTGCAGCGGGAGATTGGAGATTGGGCCCGGTGTTTGATGTTAAGAGTAATTATTCGGATTATTTTGGAGTGCCGCTGTTTGAACCGAAGGATGTAGGTCTGGATGGGGTTAATAGGAGAGAGGTGCGGGGATTGGAGATTCCGTTCTTGAAGGAATTGGAGTTGAGGTTTAGATTGGAGGGTTGTGAGGGAGAGGATGATGGGTGTGGGGAGAGAGATCAACGGAGATGTTCTGATGAGGATGTTAAGAATGGAAGTCCGACGGAATATGATAGTGATGGGTTTCTATACGATGATGATAAAGGTGATGAGGTTGCAGGAAATTTGAATCCGACAGAATCCACAGGTTCCGAAGCAGATCGATTCTCTCGCCGTCCTTCTGAAGTATCTTTGAGCAATAGATCTGGTGATGGATCCGAAGGAGATTATGCAGGTTCGATTGTTGAAGGATATGGCATCACTGATGATCATCGCACTGGCTCCAACACCAACGTACGCATCAATGATAGTTTTCGAAGACGCATAGCACGTAGCTACACCTTCAACAGCAGACTCGGGCAAGACACGTTTGCGCCCTCTAACGCAGGAAGTCTCATCAGCGAAGAAGCATACGACACTGACGACGAAGAGTACGAAAGCGACGATGGAGTCTCCGCCAATTATTCCTTCGGCAATTCCTCATACCATGGTACAGAATGTCAAGAAGACTACGCCATCGGAACATCGAAATTCGCACCCCATGCATTCCAACTATATCCTCCCTACGAAGCAGCAAATGATCGTACGACAATTGGTCTTGCGCCATCGGAAAGAGGAAATACGCGTCCAGCGTCCTGGGATGCGGATTTAATGGAAGATATACTCGGGTATTCCGTGCACGAAGAAACGCACAAACCTCATGATCCAACTGCCGAGATGGTGATCATGAGTTATTTGGATCCTGTTCCCCAATCAAGAAGATCTTCATCGAGATCGAGATCTTCGACAGGTTCATTGACGCCCGTTCCATCGCCTACAAAGCCTACGAGAATTGCTAAATCTTTCGTTCCCACTGTCAAATCGCTTTCTCGAGCTTTCGCTAAGAATAAAATTCTTCCCCCAACACCAGAAGACGCATCATGCGAAACCTTCTCGAAATCCGCGTCTAAAAGCACAGATTCCCTCCGCAAATCCTCTCTCTCAACCGCCAACATCGCTAAACTCAACAACGACAAGCACAAAGAAAAATCGTCCCTCCCCAAACCCTCCACCAAAAACTCCAGTCACAAAACCACCCTCTCCAAAATCTCCATCAAACCCAAACACAAACCCCTCCTCCTTTTCCGACCCCGCAAATCCAAAATCCCCGCCCCACCCAGCTCCACCTCCTCCAGCAACTCCAACACCTCCTACGTCGATCTCACACGTTCCGGATCCGCATATGCGGTCCCCCCGGCTCAATCTCTCATTCTGTATCTCCACGGTCGTGGATTAGCCGCAGATCACATCGCGTATGTGATGCAGTCGCTCGATGAGAAGTTTCTGTATGATTCGAATTCGAATTGGTGGCCGCTCGATCATTTGTCCTCGGTTTCTGTTTGCGCGGTAAAACCTATGCAGTATTTACATTCATTGGGTAGTACTGCGCTCCCGAATATTCCCTCCCAAGCTCCTCTCCCCCAAGGATCAAAAACAAACACAAAAAACACAACACCCATCCGCTTCCCACCCCACACACTCTTCACTCCCTCCACGGTTTCCCAAATCCTGCACAGATGCAAGAGAGAAGCAGAGTGGTGGGAGCCTGCCAATGCGCGTGATCCGGATGGAAAAATATTACCAGAGAGTTTTCGACGGTTGAAAAAGGGGATGAGGATTCGCAAGGCGAGAGGCTTGGTTAGGAAGACGGTGGAGAATTTTTTGTGGTGGAGGATTGGTGGGGGGGTGGGCGTGCCGCATGGGGGGTTGATGAGGGGGTAGGAGATTTTGATTAAGAGAAAATTGGGGTGGTGTACGTGGGATTGGGATGAGAATTGAGATATCGATTCTGGAGCAGATCAATTGATGCTATCGATTCCTTGATGCTATTGCTGCTCTTATTATTTGGATCAGATCTCGCTTATCATACTGGAAGATGACGGCGACGATGGCGGCGATGACGATGATGATGTCGAGTTTACTTTTCTCTTTTCTATTCTATTCTATTCTGTTCTATTCTATTCTATTCTATTCTATTCTATTCTATTCTATTCTATTCTATTCTATTCTATTCTTTCCCGTTCAATTTCTATTTCGCGCCGAAAATCTGTTTGAATACTCCTCTTCTCCATTTCCCCTTTCCTTTTCCGCATTCCATTCTCCATCAGATTCATCGACTTTGTTTACATACGAATCATACAATACAATACCATACAGACTCTGCTCTACATAGGTACATATGCTACATATGACCATCCTGGTAGCCTTCTCTGCTTTTGTTTTGGTCTGTTCTGGTTTACTTTAGTTTCTTCTCAAGCGTCAACTGTTCTATTCTGTTTGTTATTTGGGATACCGAGTGAGATATGGGAACTTTAGGAGGATTTTATTTATTTTTTGTAATGATGTTTGATTATTTCTTTTGTTTTGATGAATTCAATGGTTTCAATGATGGATGGATGTACTTACTTAGTCACTTACGACTACTTCGAAAAGAGTTTAATTTGTAAGAAATGTCTACTTATTAGTAGATAGATAGGGATAATAATTATGCTATGCTAGTATAAAGATCTTTTGGATATTGAAGAGAAAAGAAATTGTGTGTGTGTGTGTGTGTAGTTATTGAGTTTTGCCTATTGAAGTTGCATACATACATACACACATAACAAGCTATACAAGTAATTCCCTAGTGCCTAGATGGATATATAAGCTATTTACATTTGTGTATATGCATCCATTTCTTCATCCATTCCCAGCAAATCTAACCCTACCATACAACGCCGAACGCTATGCTTATACCTAACTAGTAGTACGTATGTTTATAACTGACCCGACGATTTATACCAACCCATGAGATCTTCATGAAAATACCTAAGCCTCCCAATATTCATACCATTATGCCTCTCCTTTACTCCCTTCCACAGTTTCTTCAATCCACCACGCTTTCGTAAGTCCATCATCACCCGTCGTAATAACCATTTCTTCATCTGGGCTTTTCCTTCCATTATCGAATCGCTGACACCACGTAACGTGGTTGATTTCATACGGACCATGCGCACCTTCCAGAACCGTGAGGACCGTCCATTCTTTCTCAATCGTACCACCGACACTATTTCGTCCTTTGGTTTGTTCCTCGTAGATGGCGACTTTGCCGTCGCCGCCAGTGGATACGATTCGACCGGTTTGTTTACTCCAACTAATGCTGTAGATAGGTAGATCGTGGACTTTCGGAAGCGTGGCTGTGCATTCCCAGGTCTCATTTTCGGGGCCCGGACGCATGGTACTAGGGATACCGGGGTTGAAATAGGAGGGTTTGTTTTGGGGTGGGGGTGTAGGTACTTTGGACCAGATACGTATGGTCATGTCTGCGGATGAGGAGAGGAGTCGTGGGGTAACTGGTGCGGAGGATTCATCGCTCGATTCCGTCTTCATGAGAACTTCAGGCTCCCAATCGAGATTCCATACTGTGCCTTCGTGACCTTCTAATGTAGCAACGGTTTCCCAGTCTCCCTCGCCATCTTCGCGCGATAGTAAAATCGTATCGTCGTAGCTACCACTTGCGAGAACTTCTCCGTTGCCATCGTCTTTTCGCCAACATACACATTTTACATCTGCTTTGTGATCTTGTAAGACTGCAACGGTTTCGAATTCATCTTCTCCCTCCTCTCCTATTTCCTCCCAAATCCATATCGTCTTATCTCTCGAACAAGAAGCTAACCATTGTCCACTGGGCGAATAAGCCACATTTTTAATCTCCGAATCATGTCCCTCCAACACAATTGAAAATTCCCAATCATCTCCCTCATCCTCCTCATCTTCTCCTCCTTTTCTCAACTGCGCTCCTTTATTCACCTCTCCATCCGGTCCAATCTCCATTTCTAATGGTCCATTCCCATCATCATTTCCATTTCCATCCCCATTCCCCGCATCCTCCTTACGTCTCCAAATCCCCATCGTCGCATCAAAACTCCCCGTCGCAATCGTCAACGCCCCATCTCTCCTAACCCCCGGTTTCCACGCCGCAGATCTCACACTTCTCTCATGGCCCCCTTCAAGCGTCGAATGCAACGTAAAATTACTGAGCGAATAGACGCGCACCGATTTATCAGAAGTGGCTGTTGCGATGAGAGGTAGTCCGTTGGGATTGGGAATCGATGCCCATGCGCGAGTGGCCGCTTGGGGCTTGAAATCGGAGAGGTGTTGGAGTCGCATGGTTGTGGGTTGAGAGGGTTTTGCGGGTGGGAGGGGAAAATTTTATGAGAGGCTTTGGAGGGGTAATGTTGGGTGCGGGTTGTGATAAGATGCCATTGGGATTTGTTGATGACAAATATGGTTAGTATCGCTCTAGCTTGTAAAAATGCTCTCCCTCGAAATTGAATGTAAAAATATTTACATATTTTGACTGTCTTCTGATTAATGATTAACGATGATTTCTGGATGAAATATTATTCCTAGAGATTTCAAAGGCAAAATATTGCTTTATTGTTTTGATATTGAATTTTGATCAAAAGGTAGAAATTTGGTGGTTTTGGTTACCGATAAGTGCACACAGATCACGGATGTTTTAACCTTATACTCTCTGTGAATCTATACTTGAGCATTGAATCTCGAAACTCATTTCACCAATGCAATCCTTTAGGTCAAATGGCTAATGTATAGTCATTATATATACTCACTTGTCTCAAATTGAAGAACTCAAAAATACCTCAAGGTCAATATTGATACAAGGAAAGTATGGCTCTTGGTTCTGCATATGAAAAATGGACATCTCAAGTACGGGACCGCGTGATCTCACGCATTTGCAATCTATATTGGAGCAGGACGAAGTACAAAGTAATGCTATTAATCAAGTATTATTGGCTGTATACAATCGAATCGTGCTGCTAGTGCATACAATATTTCTTCAATCATTTCGTAATGCTACAGGAATTCCATCAATATCGAAATGGATTGCTAGTGCAAATGATATTCCCACGCTGATTTCCCAACACCGAGGAAACTTTTTCAAATATCCAGATGTAATACTGCAGATCCTTGATCTCTAATGTTCCCATTTGCTATCACTTTTGTTAGTATCAATCAACAAATGGGACAAGATGTTCAAAAAGCCATTCATTCAAAGTCCAGGCTGTCCACGTACTTCTTCGAATATGCAATCCTCCTATCTGTTGAACCGTCGCCAATTGTACTCTGATGATTCACCGACTGTCTTAAAACATCTATGAACCATCAACATCTAGAGGTCCAGAATAAGTAGCAGTGGTATTGCTGCCTGGAGACAATGCATCACTTCCTAATTGAATGGCATTTCTTCGTCCACGATTACGCATCTCCATGCGGCGATGCTCTTCAGAAGACGCACCATCCATCCCTCGACGAGATCCTTGATTACTCGCATAACGATTCCTCAAGGTTTGAGCATACATTTCTTCCCTTGAAAATCCACGTAGATATGGGTTGTCAGGAAACAAAATTGCAGCGTCAGAGTCTTGATCTTCGTCCCTTACTTCTTCAACGGCCTCGGGTCCCTCCTGACTGTGGCGCAAGCTGGAATCATTCGGCTGCTCTTGCTGAGATAATGATATTGACTGTCGCTGTTGTTGGATCCTAAGCTGGAAGTCCCTTTCTAAAGCGTCCACTGCTCGAATAGTCGTCGACGATTGTGCGAAGATTTGTGCCCCACTAGGGTTCTCAACTAATGCAACTGCAAGTCGTGAAACGTCTAGATTGGCGGGTAAACGGGCATTGCCCGATTGGATCCAACGTCTCACTGTGTCGCGTTGAATTCCACCTGCTTTAAACAGCCCAGAGTAGAGCCTCACAAAGAAACCCGCGGTTGCTTGATTGGCGGTGTCGGTAAGACGGTCGACGGTAGCTAGCTCTATGATAGCTCGATTGACGAGAGCTTGATCGGCGGCAGCTTGATCGGTAAAAGGCGCATCAGTTTGATCAGAAGCTATTGGTTGATTGTCCAGTGTGAAAGAGATCTCATTTATGCTGATATGAGTATAATACGAAGCGTCCCACCGCCTCAATAATTCACTTCCTGCTTCAGCAATCGTCAACATCTGAAGAGAGAGACTCCTAGAGGAGGGTGCCATTGATTGATTGACTGTAAATCTGACCGGCCTCTGCATGGCGGCAGCTTGATGGACGGGAATTTGACTGGCTATAGCTAGCACAGTGGCAAATTCATTGACGAGAGCTTGATCAGCGTCAGCTTGGTTAATTCGATCAACAGTCACAGCTTGAGGAGAGTTGGAGATAGCTTGCTCTGAGGCAGTCGGGCTAGAGACATCTAAGGCATTTGGGCTAGCGACATCTTCATCGGAAATAACTGGAACTGGGACAAATGTATGGGTGCGACGTCGATTTGGGACAGCTTGACGGGCAGAATCTGGAATAGGGACAAGGGTATAGTTGCTGAGATTTGGGTATGTGGGAGCACCTGGATTGGGAGCACCTTGAAGAGGGAAATATCCAGCACTAGGAAACATGTTTGGGGCAGCTCCATCGAGGGAAAATTGTCTGGGAACAGTTGGATTAGCAGACCTGTCCACAGGTGGTCCTTGATTTTCATTGCTCAAATGAACACTCTTTCGATCAGGTTGAGAACTTGAACAATCTGATTTATTGTCAATGCATCGCTTGGCTCTTTCGCAGAGCGACTGGTCGTGAATAAGTTGACCCATGATCACCGCAGTAAACCAAGTGGAAAGTCAAGAAGCTCTTTGAGAACTGCGAATCGGAATTCTTGGAAGAGGATGGTAATTCTGATATCAATGTCAACGACGGTAGGACGACCAAGAAATAATAGCTAGAATAGTCTTCTTGGTTAAGAGTTGGATATCGGTTAAGATAGATGATTATTGCATACGGCAAAGGTATGAAAGTTATTCTATGCTGAGACAAGACGAAACAATTTGCTAATGGTGATACAAACAATACAACTTAAATGCGACTGCCTTGTCGAAGTTTGTACGCATTTAGCTGTTGCCACGAAGAAATAAATATCCAGAGACGAAAGGACTTGCTCGCTCTTGCCAGTTCCTATCAAGAGCGGGCCATTTTTCCAATACCAGAGAGTATCACCACGGTCTTTACCTTAACTCCCTCGCGGACAAAAACATGTGTGATATTTTTAGTAGGATGTGAATATGTATCTAGATCTTTCGAGTTGTTTGACGTTGAGAAGTGGAAATACATATACCAAAGGTTGAACTTCATCAACCTGAAGTGACCTCAGCAACGAATTTAAGTCTAGCGACATAAGGACGACGACCTGGAGGTCTATGTATACATAAACTTTCACACCTACAACCTACACAACCGCCATAGCAGCTGATGACCATGTTTTGAACTTTAACATGGTTATTAGTTGAGTGTACAAGGGGCATATACGATACTTAATCCCACACTCAGAAAGCAACGGATCATCCTTTGCATAAAAACGACTGTATAATGTGAATGGTTATGATAATTTATGTACTGACTGAACAGCTAGAAAGTATATACAGCAACTGAATTCAACTCAATCCCCCAGCAACATAACGATGCTTCAAACAAAATAAGCCAAGAACCGATTCTCCAAGCACATGCGAGGATTTGATTCCGAATGAGCGACATGAAGTAAACTAGCTGACGGGTATGATTTCATAGCCCTTTCGCCATTCTCCCTCCCCTCTTATCGGCCCCACCTTCCACTCCCTGCTACCTACCCCACTTCCCTTTCTGTCAAACCCTCAATCTAAGACCCCCCACCTACAAGCATTTGCTTTGGGTTTCCCTTTCCCCTCCCAATTGCCTCTTTGGCACTCATCACACCCTTACTTAGATATGCCCCGCCAGGTCTACCATTTGTGTATTTGCCGATCTCCACACCGACCAATCGTTCCTCATCATAAACAATCGTTGAATTGACTGCCTCCACATCTCGGTAATACAATTCCGTATCAATTGCATCATTGTTAATATCCAATCCACCAAATTCAAAAGTCTGACTTGTGCTTCCATATCCGGAACTGCCGGCTGAAGTACCCGAGTAATGAGCTGATCCACCTTGGGTAGTTGAGAGGCGAGTTCCCGAGAACCCGGAGATGAGAGAAGCAGAGGAGGGTAGATTAGCAAACGGTTGAAGTCCGGTTGGAAAGACTGAGGCTCCGGATATGAGGAGGTCGAGGCCGCGGGTTATGACGGCATCAAGGGTGAAGTTTGTAGAGGAAAGGACTAGATATGTTGTGTTCACCCAGACGGGGTATGTATATTCGGACTTGTATTTTGTGGAACTTCCTATTATGGAGGTATCGACGCCATGGGTTGTTGCGTTGTTTATTTGAATGGCGCCAAAAGTGGTGTATTGACCATAGTTCAAAGAGCTTAATTCCTGAGTCCATGTTGAAGTCGAAGTGCCATTTTCCGTAACGATGGTAGATGAGATAGAGAGCGAACGCTGAACGTTTGTTGTATAAGTGAGTGTTTCGTTTGCGCCAGTTGCATTTTTAGTGAGGACTTGTGAAGTAGTGATGATAGGAGCTGGAAGCGAGAGTGTGGGTGCAGTTCCAGTAGTGACAGAGTCATTGGAGTCAAGCCATATAAAGATTTTGCCAGTGACGAGCCAGTAACTACCTACTGTATCAATTAGGGTACCACTTCCCTCACCATCGTCTATAACACCTGCAACTCGGATCTCAAAGGTATGTTCAGATCCATCACAGAGGACAGGAAGCCAAGGTGTGATGTCGATCTCGTGTTCACGTAGATCGAAAGCATCGAGTCCTACGATTGGTTTCCAAAGTCCTGGTACGATACCACCAGTAAAGACCACTGGAAATGGCCATTGCACACCGGCTAATTGGCCATCGATCAAAACCTGGACTTCACGAAATGGCGAGTATCCATAAAGTGTTCCATCATAATCCTCAAATGTTTCGACGTCTGACTGAAGCACGTTGCCCCACCAAAATTCCTCAGTTGACTGACCACATGCCGAGATAGAGAAGACGGCGCGATTGGCGTTCTGTGGGAAGCTAATGGTGTTTGTGGCGTTATCACCTGGTAATGTGAAAACACTCACAGCGTCTTCTGCACCGTGCCTGGCGGAGATTGGAAGGATCAGATCAGCCGGCTCGACGGTTTCTTGGCTCGTGAAGAATGTAGCTGTGAGCGTGGTATAGTAATATCCAGTATAGGTGCTATCGATCAGATTTCCAAGATCAAAGATGAGCGTTTGAGGGGAGTTCCAAAAATAAAGATACTCCGTCATATCCTTGAGATATTCCCATCTAATTCCAGCCGTAGTTGGTTCGGCGGTAGATGTTCTCCAAACTTCAGAGTCTCCTAGATACATGATTGCGAGTCGGTCGAATTGACGGCCACTTGAAGTTACTGTGAAATTCATAACGACTCTATTGAACGTGCAACTAGGAGGCGTATAATTACCTGTAAGATCATTAGCTGATTTGTCATTGCAAGATTTTATACATGAATTCCATACCAACAAATGGGATGCCATAGCTGTAGCCAAAGGTGTGTTCCATCAAAACAACCTTGCAGCTTGTAGCAACATTTGTTGACGCGATTATCGACGTCTCCTCGACTCCATCATATGATGCTGTCTCATCAGACACACCAGGTGGGATGAGAACCGGTTGATAAACCTGAAATACCTCAAGTACTGCGGAAGTGGGAGTAGCAGAGGGAGCTGGTGCAGCAGAATATTTGACCAAGTCCGATTTTGGTGAAATATCCTCCACGTCCTCTAAAGAGCATGATCGTGAAAGCCATAACAATGACAGACCGCAGCTAAATAACATAAGGAGGAATATTTTGATATTTTTGATTGTTTTTCGATTTTTGTTGTCGGGCTCACGATTGGTATCAACAAGTCGAAGATGATCACCAATACAAGTATCGCCCTTTGAGTCAGACGGATCTTCGGTTCCTGCTGACATTGTAAATGCTGAAGTTGGAAACGATCCACCGGGGAACAAGGGTGGGTTAAACAAGGTAAGGATGAGGGTGCAGTAAGTCAGTAATCAATTGAGCCACTGTGGCACCGTCGAGTGTGGCACTTCTCAACTGTGCTGGGAATCCCAATATCTCTTTCGCGCTGCGGTTGCGAGCTCAACCCCTTGGAATCGATTTTGAAAGTAATTGAAGACACCAAATTCTTCGCGGGTCATCACATATGTGGTGGGTTCTTCTTGTAGCTTCCTCCAGATGTTGTTGATTGCGACTTCCAAGACACCTATGACGATTGGGTCTCTGATTTCTTCCTCACTGTCTCGAGCAATTTCCAAAGCTTGAGATACTGAAAGAGTGCCGACAGAAGCTTGTCTATACGCCTCTTGGCTAGTTAAATGGCCGTTCATAATCGTATGGAGTGACAAGGAAGGGTCGAAGTGATCCGGGTTATCGAGGTGCGTCTTAGCAAACGACGAAAGAGGAAGGTGCGAGTCTTGAATGAAAGGCATGGTGACGGAGTAATATGTAGTAAACGGAATGGTTTTCTCGAGTTGCATTAGCTGTCATATGATAAGTACCTAAGTACTCTGTATGATCTCGATGTGATTCGGGCTTTTGCCTGATTGCGGAAGCACTGGCAGCTCAACTTGTCCGACCAATAGCTCTTCTGGGAAGGTAATCGTAGATGAATGGATGGATTCGACGCTTTTGTGTATCTGCTTGGGTTCGGCGTGGAGATCTTAAAGGAGTGGATTCGATATGATTTCGATATGTAATGGAAAGAGAATTTCTATTGGAAAGAGTGAAGCAAAAGCAGGGAGGATGGCTTGAAGAGGTTGTGTCCTATATAGTAAGATTCCAAAAGTGTAAGTTCATGACTTGCGCCTGATAGGTCTCCAAAATCTTATTACAGACATTGAACCCTGGTATCGTGGAAAGTATAAGATCCAATTAAATTGGAACATTTCCGCGCTCTGTCACAGGAAGAAAATGCTTGTAAGTGCTTGTGGAGTCAAATATCAAAGCTCCTGGGCCCTGGGGACAACAGGGAATCAGAACATCATCATTTTTCAGACCAAATTTAACTAATAGGTCGATTCGTCGAGTCAGTAAATATGGAGTTTCAACCCAAAGTTAAACAGTTAAACGTCTTATGCAAATTTGCGATATTTGCTTGAATCGAATTCATCTCGTTTCTCCCGCGTACCGATGGTAAAAGTAAACTCTGACACCGAGATTTTTGCATACATCTGTCTCTTAGCATCCCAATACTTTTACCCGACTACTGTGACCTAGTGACTGGTCCATCGATTTTGAACCTACGACTTTTGCCCACCACCACCACCACCACCATTACAGCACCGAGGTCTTTGTCGTATGTAAGGTTTGACTAGATGATAGGGTTTAGATGCAGCAGAGCTGCAAAAAGACCCTAAATTAGCAATCTAGACCAGGAATACAAGACCGGAGCACAACGCCTCAATCCGACAGCACAATCTACTGATAATCAGATCTCGATCCTCAGCGTACACACGTACTCGGTTGACTGACTGGAATCCTTACATAAATCCAACACTGATTGAGATATCTCAATATAAAATTTGATATGACATTGACTCATCGGAGACTTTATCCCGGCGGCCAGACATTCATGCTAAACGGGCCTCCGAAGTGTTCTAGTGGCAAAAGAAGCAACAGCATGGAATTCGCTAGGCTAAGACGGAGTGCAGAACTCTATAACCGAAAAGAACGACATATATTAGGAATTTGGAAACCATCTCGAAGATTAGAGCTGTATAATTTTAGCATGATTAATAGCTTCCTCAGAAGCACGGAGCAACTGCCACTTCAGCCATAGTCTGCTGCTAAGCGAATGGGGAACAAATAAAGTATAATCGTCTCCCCTGTGATTTCAGATCATCTCGCGCTTCGCTCTTCGCACATCAACCTCTTCATGGCTCTCATCACCATATTTGAATTAAAAGAGAGTTTCCATCCATGAATCAATCCATGACCGATCAATGAACAGATATTCAAAGCTATAACATAACTCGTAAGTTGTTTTAAGATTAGGGGGCTGAGGGGGCGAGGGGGGTTCACAGATACACCCACCGTTGGGACGTATAGTGCACATCCAGTACTGTTCAATATCTGATTTCGATACTGGATCAATTGAAGTCACGAGGAAAGGCGCTATCGACTTGGGAAAGCATCTGCTCAACCATAAGCAATCCCAGAATCAGGCACAGTCAAGGCATAAAGTCAATGTCTCGTGCTGACTCAGGTATTTATTGGCTGAAGGTTAAACTTCGCTATATGATTAACTTTTTCAACAACTTCAGGTTTTTTTCAATTACTAGATAAATACTCTATTGAGTTTTGACGTCTGGATTTCGAGGGAAAGTATCGTTCTCGCCACATCACCAAAACGTTGAAGCAAACTCAATTTTCTTCCCCCTCTCTGTCCCCATCCAAAATTTTAAAAGATTCTGTGTCGGATCCGACGTTAACTTCGGACTCGGGGTGAACTCTTGAAATTTACATTTCACAAGTTACAACAATGCATTTGGTGTTTGAACGATCGTTTGTATCAAGATCCAAATGATGATCTCCGCCTTCTCGGCTCATGCATTCGCAATTCTTTCCCGTATTCTTTCCATCTCCGTGCTGCATTGAGAAGTCGTCCCGGATTTCTAGAACTTTAATCAAACAACAATCTCCTCATTTCCATCCTGGATTAAAAAAAACAGGACAGACCTTGCCATAAGCCCGCGATATCCGCAGCAGCCGCTCCCACGGAAGAGTGCAGTGACATGCATTTTCCTTGCCCAGAATATCTATCATCTTGGCTCTCTTGGCCGTCCCCTCCCTCACAATCTCCTTGATATTTTCCCGGGTACTCTGGCCCTTACTTGCTCTTCATGTGTTCAAGGGTGATATGGTCCATCTATCGACGGGCAGTTCGTGAAGCATCTGTAAATCCAAATTCAAAATTTGCCCTTGACACACTAGCCACAAAATTCGGAGATTTCGAGGAAACTCGGATTTGTAGCCACAACGACAGGCAGCCAAATCCAGACTTTTCAAGTGATCGACCCTTTGATTGGTGGAATACTTCCGCGCTGCAGACGAGCTCAGGAGTCAGGGAGCATCATCCAAAGGATGGCCCCCTCCCGCGCCCCGCACTTTTTGGAGGTCAGCGACCCTCCCTTACTTCTTTTTGACATATCTCCGTCCCTTGAGTGCTTCATATATTTAATCACCATATTATTTAAACCCGGCACTTGTTATATCGGTTGGTCAGATAAGAAAGAAGCCGTTTGATGCACGCACGTCGCACTCCTGGTAATTACTACGCAATCTTTTACTGGGACCTGGGAAGAACCCTTTTATTCAGAAGCGAACTTTGGTGCCGGTTTGATTACTTCCAACAGTGAGCCTCATGTTCACAGCTGTCAACTAGCGAATCCTAATTCAACATGCAATGCAAAACATACGGTACACTTTCCAACGCAATCTTTTAAACTTTTCGGGACAAGGTTCCGATCCTGGTCTCAGAATGTCCAAAACTTCTTCGCGTAGAGTCGTAGTTGTCTATAACCGAGCGGTGCGACAAATGCAAAGTTTAACTTTGTGCCCCTGACTCGCCGTCAGCACGTGCTCAGCTCATGATTAGTTGCTACACGCAAATGATACTGCCGAGTTGCCTTGCTGACAGTCCCGGCAATACTCAGCACTAAATGAAGAGTTTCCAAATCCTGATAGATTGGTTCATCTAGAATATACGCGTACGGAGTACGGCTATGACTTGATGGTAGCTCATTTGTCATCCGCTTATTTCCCAAGCCCTATCTCGAGCCCACCCTTTGTTGGCCGACCTTCTCAAATTTACTATGTCATCTGGAGTTCAAACAAAAGTATGTAGGTTGGACTTCGGTTTGGGGGGGGGGGCGGGTTCTCCTCGGACAGCTCGAAAGAAAGACAAAATGATTACATGAAATCATCGTGGCCAGCAACTGCGCGCGAGTCGGAGGATTCACCCCACCAGTCCATGTATGAGTGATGGATTTCAAAGCAAAAATCTTACTTTTTCGTCTATATCAATTTATTAAACTTTGTTCTAAATTTTGTTATCCAATTGCAGGATTAACTTTCCGAGTACAGATATACGATGTACCTATGCTTGCCAGACATTTTGTCATGATTACTGATCTCCGCGACGGGAGATCAGTGGAGCCTCATATTGTACAAAAAAGATACAAAACATTGATGAAGCCGACGAAATCGCCTAAATCGGTTGTGACGGAGCTGAGATTCAAGTTATTTCTGGAAATTTCGATATATTTGCCTTGAAATAAACTCTACTTACAAGTAAGCAGTCCACATGAGATCGAGATTTGCGGCTTCTTTCCACTATTTGAACGTATCCTATGAATATGTTCGCGTCGTCGATGTCATACCACCTGAACCTGAAAGAGCATGCCATGACACGTCACACATGTATATTTGAGGGACCGCCATCAAAAAGTGCAAAAGGTGTTTTTTTTCTAGGGGTGTCAAAAAGCTTATTTGATCTTCCTACTTCAAATTTGATGAACAGACATTAATTGCTAGTGTGAACCTTACATCCCAAAAGGGGAAACGCGTACGCGAGCCACAGGATTCCAGCCGCCTTGCCACGCGCCAACAATTTTATGCTTTGCTTTAGTTAAGCTGCACTAATTGTATCTTCCCTCACTAGATCTCAACTCAGCCGCTCAGGCTTGAGAAGAAGCGCTTAGTAGAGCTGACACTAGGCACCTTTTCACGTTGCTGCCAAAGGGCCCTAGATCTGCCGAGTAGACGTGGTAGAGACAAAGTATGATCTGCTCATGAATCGCATCAAATAGGATTCCATGGCTCTTTGACTTTTTTTAACGTGTGTAGGATCTTTTAGGTTCATGTCGTCGTGATTGCGTTGATTGATTTTTCATGTCACCCTTCATACTCTATAGATGACACATATCATCAGGCAGTAAAATGACATGTTTCAGAACCCATTCTCCTTGATTGAAGTTTCCTTCTGGGACTGCGGGAGGATTAAGCATCGAGCTAGTGGCTCCGATCATGTGCAAGACACGTGAGTCTGATATTTCTTCTTCAGCATTTCCCACTTTCTGGATAGGATAAGACATTTTCCAATGGGAAACTTTGTTCTGCAGAGATACTTCAACATGATTTGTCTGCTTTACGAAGCAACCAAATTCTTCTCAAACTTTACTACCATCTGACTTTTCCCTACGAATCTCACCGTTTTTTTCTTTTCTTTTCAAGCAATTCGTACCGGGGAGCAGCTAAAAGAAGGTGAAAGATTAAGCAATAAGGACAAACTTGTTGATAGAAAGTTCCTTGGCTTCTATTTACAAGTAACAAAAATATCAATTCAAAGTTGGGTTTCGAATATCTTGTTTCGCCTGAACTTGCAAACTTTGTACCATTCATTAGGGCATGACGATTAATGACGTACTAGGTATGTCTGCAAGACAATCTCAAACTTTCACGCTCAAACTTTCGAGGCTTTTTCATATATATTGCTGTCATACATTTTTGACCGCTACTGGCCATGTTTTTTTCAAACACAATTCATATCTATATTGCTGTCCCCATCGTGCGGGTGCAATCGATAAGGCATATGATGTTCTCGATAAAAATTATGGAGTGTCCACTATTTTCAGTTCGGTAGGCGATCTTTTGTAGACAGTACACTAAATTCCTAATCATGACGTTAACACCTCCCACACAACTTGGGGTTGGCAATGTTGACACCTTAGCAATTTCCAGCTTGTGCATTCTGTTTCCTTCGTCCTCTCGTCTTGTGAATCATCAACATTGCAAGTTCTGCATGTAATTGGGTTCGTACGCATTTGTGCATCTCAGGAGTTGTAGTACCCACTTGTATACCATCTATAATGTTTAATTTTACCCGACATGCATTTGCAGCCCTGCTGCTCCTGCTACCTATGGTTCTGGCAGCATCAAAAGCATATGTGGAACTCGTCAATGGAACTCCATACGACTGGCACTTGATATCTAATGAAACACATCACATGAAATGGTTTCCCAATACCACCATTCCGTCCGGTATTCAGGCTACGTTCTATTCCTTATGGCCAGTTCCCAATCCTAACAAATTACCACAGGTACCAGCGCCGAATCCTATATCTCATGGATTCTCTATCTACGGGACGCAAAGGCCGAAGCAACATATCGTATCGATAATCCTTCATCCCCCGAATCCTTTACCGTTCGAGCCCGCCAAAATCCAACCAAAATCGAGGTTGTCTATCATGAAAACCTCTCCTCTCTCAACAATCCCAAAAATTCAATCATCGACCTGGTTTATAGCAAAAAACATCCGCATCCATTCATCCTCGCAGGAAATGGTATCTCAACCCCCTACGTCAGCTCTAACCCTCCAATCCCCTGGATGCAAAACACTCTTTCCACTATCTCCTCAAGACCTCTCCGTCAAATCAGTATGCCCATGGCTCACAACGCAGGCGCCAGTATCGTAAGCAATTCATTCAAAGGGCCAGGCACATTACACAACACACAAACACAAGCCAATTCCGTATTTATGCAACTAATTTTCGGAGCCCGCTGGTTAGATATTCGACCTGTGTTTTATGAGGGAAAATGGATGACTTACCATGGTAAATTTGCCTCGGGGAGAATGTGGGGTGCCACAGGTCAAAGTATTGAGAGTGTAATTGAAGATGTGAATAGGTTTACAAAAGCACATCCCGGAGAACTCATCGTGCTTGACATATCGCATGATGCAAGTAATGCGTGGAAATGGAGGAAATTTAATGCGATTGACTGGATGAAGCTTTTGGAGTTATTGGGTGGAATTCGTAATGCGTGGCGGGAACCACGGAGATTGGGCTGGGATTTGTCGCTTTTACCATTGGACACTTTTATAACCAAGGGGGGTAATAGTACGGTGTTCGTGAGGATTCCTTGCGATGCGCCGATACCGTTTCCGACACATCCTGGGAGGGGAAAAAGAGATGCAAATACCACTCTGATAGCATCTTCAGCTGGCTGCGATCCTGTTAGTTCAGATGATTATCTTGCGCCGTTGAACACTATGGATTCGCTCGACTCACAAGAGTTGTCTTCTTCCCCTATCGATAAGCGGGAAATGTCCAACATTCCCGGTGGCATTCGTAAGTATTACTTGTCTTTTCACATTGCAATTGCTAGCTTTACAATCGATTTGAATATTACAATCTCGAAAGTCTTCCCTTCTGTTCTGTATCCAGTCTTAAATCCTTAGCCCCTCCTTTGCATATTGCAGCGTTTATATCGTAATCTCACTTCATCTTTACGTCTTCACCCCCTGGAACATATTGTTTATATCAAGACTCTTTTATTGAATCCTGACCACCTTAAACTAACCCCTCAATCCAGTGCCTGAACCCCTCTCCCGCCGCACCAACTACAAAATAACCTTTACACCCCTCCCGGCGTCCCGCCTCCCCGTAACCGGGCACGACTCCGCCACCGACTCTCCTTCCTACCTTGCCTCCTCCCAGCTCCGCCTCCTCACCCTACACAGATCCTCTCCCGCCATCACCCCGACAAACCCCGCACAAATGCACAAATCATCCTGGATCCTCTTTCAATTGACTACTTTCGAAGCCGATATCGGTAATTGGTGGAATTCTGTACTCGGGTATGCGATATTGGCGCAGCGGAGCTTGTTCAGGAATTTTGGGGGACTGGTACGCGGGAGAGGGAAAACAGGAAAACCGAATTTGATCGAGGTGGATTATATTAGGACGCCGGATGTGGCGGCGTTGGCTATGGCGATTAATGTTTGGGAGGAGTAGGAGAGAGTATGAGGGAAGGGAAGGTGATGTGATTCCGATGAATGTATGAGGATTCGGGAGGGCTAGATGGAGATCAGGGTAAGGAGGAGGCCGATACTGTGTATCACATAAAAGTGTATTTTTTAATGTTTATTCTGCAATATTGAATTTTCAGTAATTCGACCTATTTTTTGCATCACAACTCCGCATGACTAGAGTAGAAACAGAAGTGGTTGAGATGTGCCGACGCTACAGCAAGATGCATTTACAAACATGACTCCAATCCTTAATAATCTGTCTCGGAGACAGAATTGAGTCGCGCAATTATATATCACTATTCTTTCGGAGAATGATTTTTAGCATATTGGGCTTGCCTGCAGCTCTTACGGTTTTGTTTCCTCTTCTGTGAGTAGTACCAGACCTCCACTCGAAAGGATAATTTTCTTTTTTAATACAGAAAGAAACATCGAAACGATGGGTTTCAGGTAATGACGAGTGAATGAGTGCGGGCTGGAAAGAGCTCATGGGTCTGCAGTAGCATTGCGACTGTTTCAGGGTCATGGCATGCAGAAAAGAGGACTGGACATCTTATTGACTAGGAAGTATATGCCAGGATAAATATAGATGGCAAGGTCATAGAATAACAAAGTATACCTGTTAGGCATTGAGGAATGGTTGGAATATAAGTGTGTTACTGTTTATACATTGGCAGTATTGATGTTTGTTAACAAGATAGATATATAGTACCTAGTAGTTACCATGACAGTAGTCCCCGGGTAACTGACGGAGCGTCATATCAATTGCTCCTTTTGCATTTTCGTGAGAAACTTTTCGATATTATGGCTGAGGGACATTAGATGAGGTGATGTCACTAAGAAAATGGCACATTGCGCGCTTGAGCGTGTGGGAGGACCGAGTGCGTGGAAATTCTGAAGTCAAAAGACACTTTGCCACTCGTTCCAAAATGGACTTAAGACGAACAGCCGGCCATCATGTCGATTCCATTTCAATATCCCAGATATTCATCACACAAAAACCATTTTCACGAACCAAATCCGTTCCAGAAGACAAATTGATGGTGATCATGATCAATGGAGGTATTCATTCCCAAATGCTGCAGGTGTGAAAGTACTATGCTCTATATGTAGATTCTGAGCCTAGCCATCGATCGTCGCGACAGCAAAACACCATATCCCATTCCCCCCAAGAAGCAAAATCGTTAACATGTTCGTTTATGATCTTGGCTTCTCCTTCTTCTCCTTCCACAAAGCAGACAATCCAACACCAGAGACCTTGACGACCTTGAAACGAACACCAGGAATATCTCCCTTGGCCTTTCCCTTACGACCGAAACCAGCGAGGAGGACCTCGTCGTTCTCATCGACAAAGTTAAGACAACCATCGTTAGGAACTGTAAAAATTTCATGTTAGTGTCTCTTCTTCATTTATAATTCTCCCATTTCTCCAAATCATCCTTCTCTCGGCCGCGCGTCTTCAATTCATCCTCCACTATCTCGCAGGAATCCCATGATATAAAGTAATCCACATACCGAAAGCAGTGACCTTCTTTCCGTTCTTGATCAACTGGACTCTGACACACTTTCGGATAGCGGAGTTAGGTTGTTTGGCCTCGACTCCGACCTTCTCGAGAACGATACCCTTGGCGTGGGAGGAACCTCCGAATGGCGAGGACTTGAAAGCGGTACCCAAAGCACGCTTCTTGTAGGACAAATCAGACCATCTTTGCTCGCGACGATGGTTTTGAAGTTTGCGAGCGGCGTTGAGACCTCTTGGCTTTCCTTTACCCATGATTGCTATTGAGAAATTTCGAATTAGCTGCTGATTGAAATTTATTGAGAGTATGAATCGTAGAGAAATTGGGTATGTACCGAATTAAGGCGATAACGGGAATTGATGGGTTATGGTTAGTTGTCGATATGTCGTTGCGAAAGCTGGAGAGAAGAATTTCAAAATCACAATGAGTGCGTGAAGCTAAAATGCGCTAAGCGAACAAATGAATTTCTGGGCAGAATAAACTGTGGCCTGAAAGTAGTCAGAATTGATTTTATTTTAAGGCACCAATTTTAATTTAGATTGTCGGCGATAACAATCACTGATAAGAACTTTGATAGCCTCTATCCAACAGCTCCAAACTCCTTATTACAATCATACAGCATACATTCTTTGAATCTGGGATTCAAGATGGAACAATCACCAAAATCGAAATCAAAGCGACCAGGTCGCGATCCACCTCCAGTACTCTTTACTACACCTTCTCAAAATGCCTCTCACGTATCATTAGAAGGTGCTCTAGCACCTATACAATCCAATCAATCATCAACCTTATATCCCACCAATTCTAGAAATTCCCTCGTCCGTCAACGTTCCCAAAGATTACCATTGCGAACTAACCTCGATGGACCTACCGATACAATTCCCTCACTTCCTCGCGCAGGGAAAGCTCCTTCCGAAGGACAAAAACAAGCTGCGAGAACCGATGCATTATGGGCTGAAATGCAAAGTACATTAGAAGAAGTTGAGCTTAGTGCTGTACATGCGACACATGTCTTTGGACCCGAACATAGTAGAGCTTTAGAGGAATTGCGGAAAACACAAATAGCTTTGGCGCAAGCGTGGGCTAGGAGTGAAGCGGATGATGTGGTTGACGAGGGACGTAAAGGTGACGTTGGAGGTGGGACATTGGGAAGTGAGGGGAAGAGTGCTCTAGATGGACCGGGAATGACGGCGACATCTGGAACGGATGGAGGAAGGAGTACGAACACGAGTGGGGTTCATAGTGGAGGCGGAGAGAGGATGGGCAGTAAATTGGAAGAGGACACAAAAGCAGATATTGTATTGGCAAGGAAGAGAAGGGAGGCTAACGATAGGTATTTCCAAAGGGTTAATGAAGGAGTTCTTGATGTGGTAGTAAAGTTGGAGGAAGTTGCTTCTGCAATGAGATCTGTGGAACAAGAGAGTCGAGATATTTGGGGTGACAATGAAACCATGGATACTGCCAGCATTCAAAGTTCAGTGCCTTGAACCATGACGTAGGAGCTCTGGCTCTGTTTTGAAAGAACAAGTGGGTTCTTACAAAGGTTTCTTTCTTGGTTGTATTCTAGGTATATCTGGGCATTCGAATGGGCATTGGCGAAGTGTTTTGGTTATTGAAAATTGGAGACTGGAGACCGGAGACTGGCGCAAAGGGATAGCTTCTGCAAGGCATGCGTGAATGCGCGGGAGGGTAAAATAACCTGGTATAGTGTTCGATTATGCGTATAATGTATTATCATTCTGGCTCAAATGCCACCCTCTCATAACGTTCCAAGCACACCTCCTATGCCAAATGTCTTTGAGATCCAGACCTCGATTTGACATAAATTCATCCCCCCTCCAAACGCCATGCAAATTCCCTCACCCAAACATTCAGTTACCAATAAACAGAGAAACCTATTGTCATTCATTAGCGATTCTCCAGTCTAGCCGAGCAGAGTACAACTCACGGCCATGACAACACAGCAAACACTTATATATGGACTCAATCGCTCTCCTATCCTCGCACATTTCCAGAACAACCCAGTAAAAGTACTATCTTCCATCAGTATTTCAGTTCCCAGCTTTGTGCAAAATAAATGCTATCATACCCTTCCTTGTTTCGATCCATAATATTGGGAAATAATTGGTGTGCGTATGCACTCGTACATATGAGGAGGAGGAGCACTAGTAGCGCTGATTGGAAATTGAAGAGAGCTGACTAGATAGCTTGTTAGTACATTTGCGCAAGAGGAATCCGCATACGCAGAGTCCTAAATTGGGATTTTTGGGCTTGACAAACCATTTTGTAGGGTAATAGTCAAAAATCACAGGAAAACTTCTAGATGATTGGAGTGTTCCTCAGTATATGAATCTGTAAATACCATTTATCAAACACATTTCCATTCACATGCATTGGGCCATCGGTAGCCGGACTATCACAAGCCCCGGATCCCGGATAAATTAATAATCGTAGGGTAGCTCGCGGCAGCTCCACGACTCTACTTTATATCAAAGATTCGATTTCCTCCCAGAGTGACAGTACTATCATAAGAAACGCGCGGATACGTCTACTTTATAGCACTTGATATTTACCCTCGCGGACTCATCAATTCAGAAATTGAGTGAAATTACAACTTTCTACCAGAACTGCAACGATCAAATTTCGTAACATACCAATTAGTATCAGACTTCTTCTCTACAAGACGCGCGCAACTCATCGCATCATATCTTGATCAGCTGTCCAAATTCAAATTTCATCCTAGCTCAAGAAATGTCTGAACCAAGAGCTCGCGCAGCCAAGAACCGCGGTCAACAAAACTTCACCGAAGCAGAACGTACGTTCCACTCTTTCCCTATGGCTTCCTCTTCTATTCCTACCAATCAACACCCAAACTAATCTAATCAATGCAGTAAAATCTTTCCTCCACGCTCACGGTGACGTTCACCATGCCCTTGAGACCACGACCAAAACCCTCGATGAAATAGTAACTGATTTCATCATCGAGCTCTGTTTTGAAGCTTCTCGCGCAGCCCAAATAGCTGGTCGACAAAAAGTAAAACTCGATGATATTAAATTTGCTTGTCGGAAGAACCCAGCATTTTTAGGAAAAATTACAGAGGTGTTTGAGAAGAAAATGTTCATCGATGAGGCGAAGAAAACATTTGATGCGACGGATGATAAGTTGTCGAAGAGTAGTGGGGGGAAGGTAGAGACGTTGGGAGAGGAGGATGATGTGGAAGATGTGGTCAATGTTGTTAAGGGTAGGAAGGGGATGGGAGGTGATTAGGGTTTATGGTAATCTGGTTGAAGATAGGTCAGAAAGATACTCGACGTTAAGATTGGGTTTATGGGGACTGATGTACTTTGGGAAACTTGCATCTGGAGTTGGATAGGATAGGTTGATACCCATATTAGGAGTTCATTTCTGGAATCAATCATAATCTTTTACGTCTTCTGGCTAATGACTTTATTGTCACCTTGTACAAATCTGCTCGCTCATGAAATTAATATTCTTGAATCTTGGCTCCAAGTGGAAGCAATCATCCAGCGTTACTTGTCGAAGTTCCATATCCAAGTGATTTTCTTCAAGGGACTTATAATGAGTTTGGAAATACAAGTCCCGTATGTCCCACAAGAAGAGAGATCTATATCAGTATCTCAATATCCAAATAAAGCTGGATATGCCAACTCTCACCCACACTGTGATGCATACATCGTAAACACCATGAAAAGGATACTACCATATTCTCATCACAGCGAACAATATCTCCTCACCATTTTACACAAGTAGACAATATCGATCTTAATATATTCTGATAACTATCTCTTCTTAAATTTCCCAGTGGCCGTTCCTAGAAAGCTATTTACACAGCAAGGGCTTCAAAGTATTTGTGGAGCTGCTTATATCCTTTATCTTCTCACACTCCTTTCTTTCTCCCCACCACTCCAATCTATCTTTACTAAATCCAAGATCGCTTTGCTATTTATTCTTCCTATCCATTCAATTCTTACCCTGCTACGAAATCACACACAAGCTAAGAGCATGAACTAAGCCGGATATTATGTTCAGATACTGTATCTATCTCTTGAAGACAATCGATTTATTCAGATCGGGATCAGTTTTGACCGTAAATCTGGGCTGAAAGTCTACTAATCTAGCTATCAAGAATCTGTATTATTTTCTAGATGAAATGAAGAATTTTCAAGGAACATATACACATACGTAGGACATTCCATCCAGTCTGTACTTAATTCCTAAATATTACGATTGATTCCTATGAATCTCAAATATTGCATGGCAAGGAATGATTTGCTTACAGCTATGAGTCATCTTAGACTCGAAGATTGTGTGAAATCTATATCTCATGGTAGATATGTAGAAGATGTATAATCAAAACGATTGCGATCTGGAGCTGTTTGATGGAGCATGATGGTATGGAGGGTATGGATATAGATATGACATAAACAACGCTACTTGCCTAGGTAATTTTTATTCTATGTCAAGGATGCGATATTGAGATTATATACTCCTTTATAGTGTGTAGGTAGTATTCTCGGTTATATGATTAGTATAAATCAAAGAGGTGGTATGAATAAGGGATTCTTGCGTAATTTTTGAATTGTATCAATGTAATAGTTCTCGTTCTCCTAGTCTCTAAATTCATTTCTATGGAGCTTGATTGCGTCTGATAGGGAGAATGGGAATGTAATGTATCTCCTATGTTATATTACTACATCATTACCTCGTCGTCTCATCTCATCATATCCCTCTTTTAACATCTCAATCTCAATATTATATATTATATACTATATACTATATATTACATACTACATACTACATACTACATACTACATTCCTCTCTAGATATAATATAACATATACTAAGTCATCCCAGCGCGAATCAAATCAATCATTATAAGAAAAATTAATATAAACAGGTAGGTATGTAATAGATAAGTTCACGGTGAACAATGACTAGTAATTCCTACCCTTTTTCGAATCACTAAATTCCAATTCAATCCGATTCATTATATTTCTTGTTGGTTTGTTTGTTTGTAAAGTCGTGGTAGTGAGATCGGATAGAGTTAGACTGACTATTTGTATTTATCTCAATCACTTATCAACTTATAACTTATTCATTTCATTCCATTGCATATACTAAACTCCGATGAAATCTGCTCTTGACTGTATGGTAAGATATAGACAGGTGTAGGAGAAGTTCTTGGGGTTGGGGATGGAGATGGGGATGGTTTGGTATGTTCTGTTAGGTTA